TGGATGGTTATGTGGTTTACAGCTGTGTTGATGACTCCAGTGGATGGTTATGTGGTTTACAGTTGTGTTGATGACTCCAGTGGAGGGTTATGTGGTTTACAGTTGTGTTGATGACTCCAGTGGAGGGTTATGTGGTTTACAGTTGTGTTGATGACTCCAGTGGATGGTTATGTGGTTTACAGTTGTGTTGATGACTCCAGTGGAGGGTTATGTGGTTTACAGTTGTGTTGATGACTCCAGTGGATGGTTATGTGGTTTACAGCTGTGTTGATGACTCCAGTGGATGGTTATGTGGTTTACAGTTGTGTTGATGACTCCAGTGGATGGTTATGTGGTTTACAGTTGTGTTGATGACTCCAGTGGAGGGTTATGTGGTTTACAGTTGTGTTGATGACTCCAGTGGATGGTTATGTGGTTTACAGTTGTGTTGATGACTCCAGTGGAGGGTTATGTGGTTTACAGTTGTGTTGATGACTCCAGTGGAGGGTTATGTGGTTTACAGTTGTGTTGATGACTCCAGTGGATGGTTATGTGGTTTACAGCTGTGTTGATGACTCCAGTGGAGGGTTATGTGGTTTACAGTTGTGTTGATGACTCCAGTGGATGGTTATGTGGTTTACAGCTGTGTTGATCACTCTAGTGGAGGGTTATGTGGTTTACAGTTGTGTTGATGACTCTAGTGGATGGTTATGCGGTTTACAGTTGTGTTGATGACTCTAGTGGATGGTTATGCGGTTTACAGTTGTGTTGATGACTCTAGTGGATGGTTATGTGGTTTACAGTTGTGTTGATGACTCTAGTGGTTGGTTATGTGGTTTACAGTTGTGTTGATGACTCCGGTGGAGGGTTATGTGGTTTACAGCTGTGTTGATGACTCCAGTGGAGGGTTATGTGGTTTACAGCTGTGTTGATGACTCCAGTGGAGGGTTATGTGGTTTACAGCTGTGTTGATGACTCCAGTGGAGGGTTATGTGATTTACAGCTGTGTTGATGACTCCAGCGGAGGGTTATGTGGTTTACAGTTGTGTTGATGACTCCAGTGGATGGTTATGTGGTTTACAGCTGTGTTGATGACTCCAGTGGATGGTTATGTGGTTTACAGTTGTGTTGATGACTCCAGTGGATGGTTATGTGGTTTACAGTTGTGTTGATGACTCCAGTGGAGGGTTATGTGGTTTACAGTTGTGTTGATGACTCCAGTGGATGGTTATGTGGTTTACAGCTGTGTTGATGACTCCAGTGGATGGTTATGTGGTTTACAGTTGTGTTGATGACTCCAGTGGAGGGTTATGTGGTTTACAGTTGTGTTGATGACTCCAGTGGAGGGTTATGTGGTTTACAGTTGTGTTGATGACTCCAGTGGATGGTTATGTGGTTTACAGTTGTGTTGATGACTCCAGTGGAGGGTTATGTGGTTTACAGTTGTGTTGATGACTCCAGTGGATGGTTATGTGGTTTACAGCTGTGTTGATGACTCCAGTGGATGGTTATGTGGTTTACAGTTGTGTTGATGACTCCAGTGGATGGTTATGTGGTTTACAGTTGTGTTGATGACTCCAGTGGAGGGTTATGTGGTTTACAGTTGTGTTGATGACTCCAGTGGATGGTTATGTGGTTTACAGTTGTGTTGATGACTCCAGTGGAGGGTTATGTGGTTTACAGTTGTGTTGATGACTCCAGTGGAGGGTTATGTGGTTTACAGTTGTGTTGATGACTCCAGTGGATGGTTATGTGGTTTACAGCTGTGTTGATGACTCCAGTGGAGGGTTATGTGGTTTACAGTTGTGTTGATGACTCCAGTGGATGGTTATGTGGTTTACAGCTGTGTTGATGACTCCAGTGGAGGGTTATGTGGTTTACAGTTGTGTTGATGACTCCAGTGGAGGGTTATGTGGTTTACAGCTGTGATGATGCCTCTAGTGGATGGTTATGCCACCTTCCTAGCCTCACTCCACCTTCCTACACTCACCCCACAAATTTACTCAGCTACTTATTTATTTACATCGGTGCCTGCATTGTATGTTCTTCTGACTCCTTCACTACTCCCATGTTTGACACGAGCCAGCAGCGCCTAGTAAGAACAAAGGACAATAACTCTGATATTCTCGATCCCTGAGGCTGCTCTGAGGGAACAAATAAATTTCTTACTGTGTGGTTTTGTCGTGTGAAAATGGAAGCTGCGTTTGACCAAAGATGAGAGGAGCCGGATGGATTGTCTAATCTGATTGGTGGTTACTCACCACTGGTCTAGATTGGGCCTAGTCCTGGTCCACATGGGTCCTAGCCCTGGCCTAGGTCAGGTCGGACCTATCCATCTTGAGATCATGAGATGATTTCGGGGTTTAGTGTCCCCGCGGCCCGGTCTTCGACCAGGCCTTCACCCCGAGGAAGCAGCCCGTAGCAGCTGTCTAACTCCCAGGTACCTATTTACTAGGTAACAGGAGCATCAGGGGTGAAAGAAACATTTTGCCCATTTGTCTCCACCTCCACCGGGGATCGAACTCGGAACCTCAGAACTACGAATCCGAAGCGCTGTCCACCCATCAGTCAGGCCTCCATGGTCTAAGTGGCTGACAGTTTGCTCGAGAAGTCAAGGTTTTGATCATACTTTTTGTGCTTCAGTTGGGATCATATGTTCGGTTTCCTTAATTAAGTAAACAAAGAGGGTAATTAGCCTTGACGGTTGATCTTGACCACAAGAGACGCTTTCAACTATATAACTTCTATTTATTTTTTATTGCAATTCTATCCACAAATTGGTTAAATTTACGCGAATTGTGTCAAGGTCAGTGTCTATGTAATTTTTTTACTGCCATTTATTGTTAATATCAAAAGTGAAAACGCGTTTCGAAATTCCGAACCCATCATGGGTTTTATGACCCACTTAAAAAGCTGTTAACCATGAGAGTGCATGACTGCTGCTTCTTGCTCAATGTCAATACTTGTCAAGAGAGAGATGGTACTTCAATGTCAGTAACATGATAGGGCTGCAATAGCAACAGAGATGGCATTGCAATAGCAACAGAGAGAAATGGGGTAGCGATGTCAACAGAATGACGATGCTACCATGTCAACAAAGATGGTGGCATTTAGGCTTTTTTTTATCGAGTTCTTTTTCGTTTCATTCTCCTCCTATTTTTGAAGAAGTTCAGTAATGACCTTTGTCAAAATTTCCCATGATACTTCCATGTTTTAATATCTCTTTTTAACTCCGTCCAGTAGTTATTTAGTAACTCATACCGTGATAGCCTCCTTGAAGATACTTAAGTCACTGTCCTGGAACTTTATATGGGGTTCTATGATTGTAATCTGTCGTAGGATATAATGGTCACATGAAGAGGTGAGCTTCCTGTCTGGATTAGATCTATCATGCCTTCTATTCTGAGGTTAGCATAAGATCTAGACTGCTGTTACCTCGGATGAGTTCTGTTACATGGTGAATGAGAAAGGAGTCCTGTACTGGGTCAAGAAATGGTCATCCTTCCAATTGAGATGTTAGATACGCTCAATCAGGCGATGAGTCACAATAACGTGGCTGAAGTATCAGCCGATTGAGTCACAATCGACTTGAGAATGGTCCAGGACGGACCGAAACGTCGTCGTCCCTTCAACTTCTAGTGTGTGGTCTGGTCAACATTCGTTCAATCTATTGCCTCGTGGTTAAAATCCCCCGATTATAAGAGCGTGGGTTTCAGTTTCACCATTTATCACCTTATGCAGACCTGTAACTTCGTCTACTGTTGCTGTGTCTGCCCCTGAAGCATATCCTCACCTTCACTTCACTATCATTTTGAGTTAGAATATTTCACCTTACAAATTTTGAGAATTCTATTGTATTTCATTCCACATCGGTGGGTGGAATGAAGTCCTTTCGCTACATACAATATTACACCAAATGCTTTTGTTATTCTGTTCTTTTCGAAAGGTGGGTGGTATCCTGTTCAGTTATATTCTGTTCAATTTACCCGAAACGCTGTGCGTATTAGTGGCTTTAGGCATAGTACATGCTAGCTTTATCTAGAAACTTAACATTCTGCTTGTAACTCATTACGTATGTGCTTTTACCTCAATAAACTATTTATTTATACCTTATCATTCGAATGTTTCGCTGATCCCAAGTGAGCCAATCAGGACTGACTTTTATACAAATAGATCAGAGCTTTCTAACCTCATGGATATTGTACCCACAGACTTGCAATCGTCAGTCATTTAATAATAGCCTACAAAGTCCACTTGCACTGTATTCTGAAAGGTAATAGTGGAGGCTCGATAAAACAAACATGTATACCCTTATATCCACGTTTTCTCTCATAGTACCCTTGATCGTCTGGCATTTGGTATCTTTCACTAGGACTAAGCAAATATTGGCTATTCTACTGGACCTGGTGGTTCCGTAACTTAAAACATCTATCTTTATTGTTGAGTACATTATTGATTTATTTTTTCCTAAATATTGGATTCATTCGTTTAACTATTTTTGTTTAATTTTGATTTTATTTATCTTTTATGAGCAAATTAATAATTGATATTCCCACACTATATCTGACGAAGCCTGTCATCCGTTCTTACTGGTAATAATAATGTATCGATGTTAAGTAAGTTACGACTATTCTACATAATGTTTGCTAGATCCTTAGTTGATGATCATGGCTTGCTCCTAAGTAACTTCCCTGCCACTGATTTGAACAAACTAGAAGTAATACAGAATGAAGACATTCTTAGTGCCTCATGAACTGAACTGAACTGAACTGAATAATACAGGAGAAGATGCCCATTGGGGCGAGCCTTGAAGTGGGGACAGCTGAAGAGTAGTCGGTGAGAGGAAATGCTGAAGTTGAAGAAAAAGTGCCAGGGCTAAACCCAGCTGCGTGGCAATACGTCGATGCTGCAAACAACCCAACAACTGGCTAGGCTTGGAGGCGGGTCTGGAAGGCGGCGGTGGCAGTGCTTCAACATTCAAGGTGGAAACAATCTGTCTTCAGGTGGTGTCTTCTTCTTCTTCAATTTCGTGTTTCTTCTTTCTTCTTGCTTCGAGTAATCATTTGATGTTTGTACTCGGCGTAGTCTGGTGGGAAAAGGTCCTTTGACAATGTGGTTTCGTCGCATTCAACGAAGATTACTTCGTTCCTTAGTGTGTACTTTAAGTTTGGATCATTCAGCAGGCATTCCGCATACCTTGTGTTGGGTATTTTGCTGGAGAGGCGTCTGTATTCGGGAGTTCCAAGTGTAAGTTTTTCACGTTGATCATATAGTGCGGAGACTCTTGGAGACTCCACTGTTGCTGGAGATGGTGATTGTGCTTCAACGTCAATCGAGGCAGTAGAGTCATCATCGGAAAACAAGTGTTCGTTTGCAGAAGCATCAGGTGTAGGTACCTGTGAAGCTGGTGTAGTCTCAGGTGCGGCTGGTGTATTTTCTAGTGAAGCTGGTGAAGTTGGTGCAGTCTCAGGTACCATTGGAGAAGTAGATGGTTCGTCTGGAGTAGTAGCAGTGTGCAAGGATGTAGGAGAATCTGTAGCAGGTTGCACAGGGTGGGCGTCAGCAGACAGGATATCTGCCAATGCAGTTGAAGAGATGTTGATGTTAGAAGCAGAAGTGGTATTTGTTGCTGAAGTCGTAGCATTGGTGTTGGCTGAGGCTGTTGTTGTGAAGAGCTCGTCACGTTGCACAGGACTCATTAACATGAGGGATGAACTGAAAGCTTCTCACTATTCTAAAGAGAATCATACAAATTCTCATTGCATTAGTAACGAAAGACTCGGAATCTCCAGCGGGCAGTAGAGACATTATTTTGTTTATTATTTATTTATTTATTTCCTTGTGACACCAACAATTAGTAATAAATCATGAATTCACTCCTTTATGAGATATAAGACTGAGATAAAATATCACGTCAAACTGAATATACATTTTGCAAGTAATATGATTATCATTAACATCCTAACTTATCTGCACCCAATCTTCCTAGTATACTTAAACATCTATCACCAAAAAAAAAGGTAATAAGAGTCTATCGTTTCTAAAAGCGGTCACACGTAAAAAATATTTGCATTCTCCGTCAAAAACCTAAGGTCTCGTGAGTATTGTGTTTACATTGATGTAAAGAATCCAATCGAGAACGGGCATACATACATACAACCTGTAGTAGCCTGCAGATTGTATGTAATTATACTTGAACACAAACTATCCGTGTCAAGTTAAACAACTGGCTGAAATTTTATACAATCGGAACGAGCAGCACTTCAACTAATCGCCAGTACACCCAACTTCACAGGAGACATAATTTTCTGCATTTTAAAATCTATTCTTCAAGCACTTGAAAACTTCTGCAATTTTGAGAGCAAGAGCCTCGTAGCAGTAATTATAAATAGCGTGCTCGCAGCGCTGAACAACGGGTTTTAAATCTCTCTTGTGTGGAAACTTTTTGGCAAAAACACAACTCGGTATTAAACCAGTTAAAACAGTTTACATATCTGTAAACTGGAGTCTGTCACATAGTTTACATCTCTCTGTTGAGTTTCAATCTGTGATCATCTTCGCAATCCAGCCGTGTGTTTATTAAGACATTACAATGGTCTGTCAAATTCATCGTCAACTGTGACGTTTATTGAACATGACGCGTGTTCTTTAGATTCAACGTTAACTGAACGTTGAATCAACGTTGTTCTTCAATAGTACGCCAACTGGAAACGTTTTCAAGTTTCGAGTTACCGAAAAGAGAAGCAAATTGTATTTTTATTATATATTTCGCCCTCAAATTTAGTAATTATTTTCAAATGTGACAAATTTTAACAAAGCTTTATTTCTAAAAGAAAAACATAAAACTTGTCTATAAAAAAAGTTCTGACGAGGAATATTTAAAATCTTAAGTCATTAAGGAGGGTTTGATTAATATATATATGGTAATAAACCGAATTTGTACCGTGACATAGGTACATACGATATATATATATATATATATATATATATATATATATATATATATATATATATATATATATATATATATATATATATATATATATATATATATATATATATATATATATATATATATATGTATATATATATATATATATATATATGTCGTACCTAGTAGCCAGAACTCACTTCTCAGCCTACTATGCAAGGCCCAATTTGCCTAATAAGCCAAGTTTTCATGAATTAATTGTTTTTCGACAACCTAACCTACCTAACCTAACCTAACCTAACTTTTTCTGCTACCTAACCTAAACTAACCTATAAAGATAGGTTAGGTTAGGTTAGGTAGGGTTGGTTAGGTTTGGTCATATATCTACGTTAATTTAAACTAAAATAAACAAAAATTGACCTCATACATAATGAAATGGGTAGTTTTATCATTTCACAAGAAAACCATTAGAGAAAATTTATTAATTCAGGAAAACTTGGCTTATTAGGCAAATCGGGCCTTGCATAGTAGGCTGAGAAGTGCGTTTTGGCTATTAGGTACGACATATATATATATATATATATATATATATATATATATATATATATATATATATATATATATATATATATATATATATATATATATATATTAGGCGGGCGGGTTGGGAATCTGCCACTACCAAAATGTACCACATTCCACAGTTTGGTTGCTCTGTGGTGGCTTGAGTCACTTTCATTGTGAAGTTTAATGTCTCTGATGGCTACTTGAGTTTCTTTGGTAATGCTTTGACTATTCTCCACTACACACCTTCTCAACCACATGTTCTTCTACACCCACCATCTTCACCACCACCACACACACTGTCCCCCAACACACACACACTCTGTCCTCCTCCACACACCTTATCCAAAGCAAAGGATCCTGCCAGAATCTATACTTTTGTGTGTGTGTGTGTGTGTGTGTGTGTGTGTGTGTGTGTGTGTGTGTGTGTGTGTGTGTGTGTGTGTGTGTGTGTGTGTTCTTTTCTAGAGCACACACACACACACACACAAAAGTATAGCCGTCAAAACCCACAATAAACAAACCAATTACACAAACACAACGAAGTGTTACGAAACGTAAAATCCTGTACTTTAACATTCTCAGGCGGACCCGGATCGTCAGCTCCAGCACACCCAGCACCGCCACGTGTGGGTAGCATCCTCTTCATCCCGCATTGTAAATTTCAAGTTCAATAAACTTCCGCCACCTCGGGGTTGGTCAGGTCAGAAACCGGGCCGCGGGGACTCTGACCCCCGGGAATCAACGCAAGGTAACCCATGCATCCTCGTGTTTAGATAGGGTTTTATAACTATGTAGACCATGAACAAATGCACAGGAGCCTTGATAGCATATGGAGCCTATATATACGATTATAGACCATCGTATATATATATATGTCGTACCTAGTAGCCAGAACGCACTTGTCAGCCTACTATGCAAGGCACGATTTGCCTAATAAGCCAAGTTTTCCTGAATTATTATATTTTTCCTAATTTTTTTCTTATGAAATGATAAAGCTACCCATTTCATTATGTACGAGGTCAATTTTTTTTTATTGGAGTTAAAATTAACGTAGATATATGACCGAACCTAACCAACCCTACCTAACCTAACCTAACCTATCTTTATTGGTTAGGTTAGGTTAGGTAGCCGAAAAAGTTAGGTTAGGTTAGGTAGGTTAGGTAGTCGAAAAACAATTAATTCATGAAAACTTGGCTTATTAGGCAAATCAGGCCTTGCATAATAGGCTGAGAAGTGCGTTCTGGCTACTAGGTACGACATATATATACATCATATATATCGGGGGTCATATAAATCATATATATATATATATATATATATATATATATATATATATATATATATATATATATATATATATATATATATATATATTTATATATATATATTTATTTACTTATTTATATATATACAAGAAGGTACATTGGGATTGTGAGGATACATAGCATAGTAATTACATTCTTGTAAAGCCTATATATAGCATATATAGCATTACAAATGCATGGAAAATAATGCATGCATCTGTGGTAGAAAATAACACTAAAAATAAAATGCCTAATTAATATTGTAAACCCAGCCTGCTTATAAATAATATACACGCATGCTAGGCACAAATGCTTCCCTCTGTCTAGATAAAACAGGTGTTTGCATGACGACTGACCAACAAGCCGGCAATCAATACGGACTTGAGGGTACAGGTGTGGGAGGAGCCAACAGTGGAGGGCTCTGACCTGAGCCACGTATATATATATATGAGCATCTCACCATGCAAAGCATCATTGAGAAGCTCGTATCTGCACCCCACGCTCTGGCGTCATGAAAACTGTGAGTATCTTCCATTTAACCAAGTCTTCAGATAAATATTGTTAGATATTGTTAAAATAAAGTGTTAAATGTAAATCATTACAAGGCTGATGGGGTTAAGAACCAGGAGCCAGATTCACGAAAGCACTTACGCAAACACTTACGAACCTGTACAACTTTCCTCAATCTTTAGCGCCTTTGTTTACAATTATTACACAGTTAATGAGTTCCGAAGCACCAGGAGGCTGTTTATAACAATAACAACAGTTGATTGGCAAGTTTTCATGCTTGTAAACTGTTTAATAAATGTAACCAAAACCGTCAAAGATTGAGGAAAGATGTACACGTTCGTAAGTGCTTGCGTAACTGCTTCGTGAATCTGGCCCCAGATTCTAGGATTTGCGAGACTTAATGGCTTGTTCAGTACGTGGGAAGTGATGTAAGTTTTGTATATAATGTGCATTATCATTGGCTTAGGGGAGAGGGGGTTTACACTTTTTTGTTTCATTCAGTTGATATAATTCTAGTAGTTGGTGGATGAATAGAAAGTGATGGAAGAGAGGAGAGGAGAATTAGATGGAAGAGGTGGTTGACACTAGAGAGGAGAGTTTATATGACCAAATGATTTGGTATGATGGAGAGACCGAGAGAAGGAAGAAAGGAAGGAAGAAAAAGAAGGAAGGGTTGCGAAAGGAAAGTAAAGGAAGGAAAAAATAAATAGAGAGGAAAACACATTAAGGCATGAGGAGTCAGGCAGCAGAGTGCAATAGTTAAGATTGATAAGCCGTCTACTATATTGTTACTCATGTGTCAGTTGAGATTGGAGTTAGTTTTTCCGCCTTGGGACGCGAGTCGCGGGGCTGTGTGGAGGGACCTTCCCCCTCCCATTACATTTTAAAAACCTTGTGTTTAAATAAATTAACCTATAATATGGGATCATTTATGACTATCAAACGCCTCTGAAAGTCAAATACATTACCATACAGCTGTTTAGGAACAGTTATAAAAGGGGAACGTTGTTAATGTGTTAAAAGCTTTATTCAGCACGTCTACTGTCCTTCAGAACAGGTGAGACAAGGTAAGCATCCCTGAGAACCTGTGGTTTAAGACAAGTGTCTCTCGAGCTGTGAGGGCCGGCATCTCTCATTAATAACTTATGATTTTATTTTCTTCGGCATTTCAGCTGTGCCTGGTGATGGTGGCCCTGGCCGCCCTGATGGGGTCAGCCCGAGCCATGCCTGACCCCTACGCCCTGGCTGACCCTGACCCCGCGGCTGACCCTAAACACGGATCTGGCGGCGGGGGTGGTCGTGGATTTGGCGGCGGAGGTGGACGTGGATTTGGCGGAGGTGGTCGTGGATTTGGCGGCGGAGGGCGTGGATTTGGCGGCGGTGGTCGTGGATTTGGCGGCGGCGGAGGACGTGGATTTGGCGGCGGCGTCAGTCTCGGAATTGGTGGACGTGGATTTGGCGGCGGTGGTCGAGGATTTGGCGGCGGTGGTGGACGAGGATTTGGCGGCGGCGTCAGTCTCGGAATTGGTGGACGTGGATTTGGCGGTCACAGAACTGGCGGCTATGGAGTTGGCGGTGGCGGATTCGGTGCGGTGGGATACGGTGGTTTCGGATTTTATGGCGGTCAGCGGTTCCGCCCCCGTACAGTGGGCTACGTCAATAATTACAACTATGGTGTTGGTTACGGGAGCGGCGGGTGTGTCCATGATGGCAGCTATGGCTATTATGGCTGATCTTATCACCCTACATCCTCTACCGCCTCGACACAGCAACCATTTGCCCAACGACTTACGAAACCTGTACATCTGTCAACTTTTGTTTACATTTAGTTAACAGTTTACGAGCTTCTCAACTTCACAACCCAAGGTTATTATTGTTGTAAACAACCACGTTGTATTTCGAAACCCAAAAGTTGTTTGATAAATTTAAAGGAAGATTGAGGAAAGATGCACAGGTTCCTTAGGTGGTTCTCTAAGTGCCTGATAGATCCTAGTCCTGATAGATGATCGAATAAATAAAATGATCACTCCAAACACTCAATGATATGAAACAATTGAATAAACATGCGAATAATTCAACTGTTCAATGACTGAATTGGAGGAAATTTCATTAACTTCAAAAGTAATGTTAACACCTTATCTTCCCCCCCCCCCTTCCTCTATACCGCCTTAATCATCCATCGCATCCAGACTCCACCTCCTCAACCATCTAAGACTCTACCGCCTCAACCATCTAAGGCTCCACCACCTCAACCATCTAAGACTCCACCACCTCAACCATCTAAGACTCCACCACCTCAACCATCAAAGACTCCACCACCTCAACCATCTAAGACTCCACCTCCTCAACCATCTAAGACTCTACCGCCTCAACCATCTAAGACTCCACCACATCAACCATCTAAGACTCCACCTCCTCAACCATCTAAGACTCCACCACCTCAACCATCTAAGACTCCACCTCCCCAACCATCAAAGACTCCACCACCTCAACCATCTAAGACTCCACCACCTCAGTCATCCGTCATCATCAACTTCCACCGCCTGAAGCTTCATGGCTTCAGTACCTCCATTAACACAATAATTACAATGTAGAGAACAACTAATTATTCAGCAATTATCAAATGTGATCAGTGTGTTCAAATATAAAATCTACATTACCACAGTGTTTTGTTTTAACCATTTGATATTCAGGAGAACAAATCCACAAGGGCCGTGATGAGGATTCGAACCTACGTCCGGGAGCATCCCAGACGCTGCCTTAATCGACTGAGCTACGACATGGTCAAAAGAGTTGAAACCGTAGTTCTACTGAACTTACTGGATCCTGCAGCGTCTCCGAGACACACAAACCAGGGTTTTACACAACTCCCCCCCATGCACCCGAGCATTTCTGTGTGTATATTCAGGAGTTAAAACAGCGAGCGAACAATTACAAAATCCTATCCACACATCACAGTCAAACACACAAACATACTCCAAGGACAGCCACTCACACAAAACATACGGACATAAACACACTACAAAAACATTACTGACTTTAGACAGGACTACGAACATACAAAATGTAATTTTTCCCGAGCCTTGCCTATATACAGAATTCTTGCCCAAGTCGTCAGACGGTCACGTGTTCAATGTTTACATACTGGTTTGGGAGGCAGCACGTGGCATAACACGTGCGGTCACGTGTTCAATGTTTACATAGTGGTTTGGGAGGCAGCACGTGGCATAACACGTGCGGTCACGTGTTCAATGTTTACATAGTGGTTTGGGAGGCAGCACGTGACATAACACGTGCGGTCACGTGTTCAATGTTTACATATTGGTTTTGGGGACAGCACGTGACATAACACACGCGGTCACGTGTTCAATGTTTACATACTGGTTTGGGAGGCAGCACGTGACATAACACGTGCAGTCACGTGTTCAATGTTTACATAGTGGTTTGAGGAGGCAGCACGTGACAACGCACCCACGTGTTCATTTACATATGATTCCCGTGTCAGCGGTACCAGCCACTATAATCACTTGTACACATCAAATCAAATGAGAAACTATATACATAATGGTTGTATGTACATTTATAACCGTATTAGATCACACAAAATATCAGACAGAGACGCACACATAAATAAAAAGTATATAACCATTTTTATAAACATTTACTTGATGTCACCACATTATAATTTTCACGTATGTTAAGAAACAATATAATAGAACGCATGGTACGATGAGCTGTGCTTTTTCCAACTCCCGAGTCGACCCGGGCATCGCCGGGTAATCTATTTAATTATTTACACAAGAGAAAGTCATCAGGTGTGAATAATGAACAGACGGGCATGGTGGTGGGAGGGAATAACTGAGTGTTGAGTAATGAGAACAAACTGTGTTACCTGCTTCATCACGGAACATGTGAACAACTACATTGATATCAATCGACTTGATAATGGTCCAGGACGGACCGAAACCTCGTCGTCTTTTCATCTTCTGGTGTGTAGTTTGGTCAACAGATATCAACATTGTTGATGTAAAGTGTTACAGAGCACGGAGGACGAGGCAAGCTTGCACGGTGACTTGTCTACCAGTCGGGAGGTGAGTCCAGCAGATATTTATGTGTTGGGCATGCTAAGGTGTAGTTGAATTTCTCAGAACGAACATATGGTGCTAGTCGCTGGTGTGTGTGTGTGTGTGTGTGTGTGTGTGTGTGTGTGTGTGTGTGTGTGTGTGTGTGTGTGTGTGTGTGTGTGTGTGTGTGCGCGCGTGTGTGTGTGTGTGTAATGTGCGTCTATGTCAATGTATTTGTTTCAATGATTAGTTGGGTTTTATTGGGAATTGTAATCAAATATCTTAAAAGTTATTTTAAGGGTGTCAAATACAATTTAATGGTATTTATTTATTTATTTGTGTGCTCTCAGGCGCTCTGGAAGTATAAGAGGTCCTGGAGATTGTAGAATTTGGCAATATAAGTACTGGATGTTGAAGGTCTGGCCGATGAAGACTCTGGAGGTGAGGCCACAGTTAAGCTTAGTCTCAGGTGTTGGACCAACTCCAGAAGTTTAGTCTAATTCAATAAAAATAACAGTATTTTTCGCTCGGTGACTCGCAGCATATCAATAACATCCAGGGGCTGCAGGAGTCATTATCCTATAATTCATTACACTTGAACAATTCATTACACTTTAAACTATCAGATCAGTATTTTCCGTCAAGGATTATCCACTTGAGAGCTGGGTTCAAATCCTGGGGTGCCCACTCTTGATTAATCGGTGCTGCGACCAATCCTACGACCAAATCTATGACGACCAGATCTACGACGTCCAAATCCCTGACGACCAAGTTTAGGGCCGGGGTTAGGGTCAGCCAGGGCGTTGGGGTCAGGTAGAGCACTGGTTGACCCCATCAGGGCGGCCAGGGCTGTCACCAAAACAAACAACAGCGACAACTGCAATTGGGAGAAAAACGTGTTTTGTAAACAAAAGGTGAACGTATAGGAGTGTAACGCTCGCCTGGTTGAACAAGGAGATGAGAGCCTTGTAGTACCTGTTCTTAAGGGTGAGAGTTGATATAATATACAACACGTCATAGGTCATAATACACATTTCTGGAGTGTTTCTCATGTCTCTCATCGCTACTGCCAGTCTTCAGTGAGACATGTATACTGTGAGGTGTCTCTCACCACTACTGCCAGTCTTCAGTGAGACATGTATACTGTGAGGTGTCTCTCACCACTACTGCCAGTCTTCAGTGAGACATGTATACTGTGAGGTGTCTCTCACCATTACTGCCAGTCTTCAGTGAGACATGTATACTGTGAGGTGTCTCTCACCACTACTGCCAGTCTTCAGTGAGACATGTATACTGTGAGGTGTCTGCTTCTTGGAGTACATACACTGAGAGAGAATACATTAACCCTGATGTATACTTGCTGATTGGTCAGTAAGGTCTTGTGGTGGTCCCTTGATAAGCCTCTCGTAAAGGATTATTAAGACGACCGCACTACTTTACTGACCAAGCAGCAAGTATACTTCAGTCCTGAATAGTCCAGGACAAAATTAAACTCTGTGTATCCACTGAGAATTGAATTTTGTGTATATTTAAATTAGAGAAAATGCTGGGTTTTGATTACAAGGTACAGGCATATTTATGAAGCTTGGGCGAGCACAGGCTGAAGAGGAGTAGTGTTACAACAGGGACAGGGTATATAGTTCATGGTCCACTACTCCTACCCCCTTCCATCACTCTCTACCTCTCTCTGTAACCCTTTACTTTCCCCTTCCATCACTCTCTATTAATCCCTCTGTAATCCTTCCACTTCCTTCACCCTCCATTACTCTTTACTCACCTTCAACTTCAAATCCAAGAATTTGTGTTAATTTCTGTCCAAAAACTGCCAAGACAATTTAAATGGACATAAAAGGAGCATAAAAATCATGTACTCGTACAAATCTTACAATCCAAGCTAGATAAATATGCATTGAAAACTCTAAATGATTAAAGTCAAGGGATGATCTACTTGGTGACACTCGACTCTCCTTGTGGCCCAACACCTGGACCTTGAAGGTAGAGCTCGGCCTTCAGTCCTCCAAGTGCTTGGACACCATTCCTTGCCTCCGCCCTATCCTACCACACTATCTAAGTACTACATAGTCGCAATGGCTTCGTGCTTTCTCCTGATACCTTCCCTTATCTCTCGGTGTAAACAATCTTGAGATATACTTACAACTCTCATCTTGACAGACTGTATAGCACTTCACAGTGGTGGTGACTTGTGGAACTGTGGCGACGAGGAGAAGAGTGCTTATATATATGTATGTGTCCTGGATCGTGCCCCCTATACCCCTCCCTCTTTCTCATTCCTAACCCCCCTCCCCCCTCTCTCACTCCCCCCATTCCCCCTCTCTGACCCCTCCCCTCCTCCCCCACTCTCACTCCCCCTCCCACCTCGACCTCGTCTCCGGAAACAATGGCCACAATCGACAATCATCAACAAGGCTGAATTTAATAAAAGATTTAATTATTCCGATAATTCTAAAATAAATATTTAAACAAGTCATTTGTAATTGTTAATCTACTCAACATTTCTGATTTATTATTTTGTAATATTTTTTTATTGCTGTATAGTTTAATATTGTATTTGTTGGGGTACCACCACTGCTGCAATTGAAGGGACCCACATCCTCGAAGAAGAAAATAAAGAGGGAGCCTGTCGGCCGAGCGGACAGCACACTGGACTTGTGATCCTGTGGGCCCGGGTTCGATCCCGGGCGCCGGCGAGAAACAATTTGCTGAGTTTCTTTCACCCTATGCCCCTGTTACCTAGCAGTAAATAGGTACCTGGGTGTTAGTCAGCTGTCACGGGCTGCTTTCTGGGGGTGGAGGCCTGGTCGAGGACCGGGCCGCGGGGACACTAAAGCCCCCGAAATCATCTCAAGACAACCTCAAGAAATGTTCAGAGAAGACATTGTAGATTCTCACTAACACTTTAATCTTTTCCTCTCCAACCACCCCTATTATTTTTTATTATTATAGTTGTATTTTGTTATTTTTATTATTAAAGTTGTACTTTGTAACTTTTTTTTACAAGAGTTCTTGCATTCTTGTACAGACACCAGCACGAGTAGCGTTTCAAGCAGGTCCTTAATCCTATGTTCCCTGGAATACGACCCGCCAAATCGTTTAACAACCAAGTACCCATTTTACTGTTGGGTAAACAGAGGCTACAGGTAAGGCTCTGCGGCGAGTAAACCCAGGGGGAGGCAGAGTTACGGGAGTAAACCCAGGGGGAGGCAGAGTTATGGGAGTAAACCCAGGAGGGCAGAGTTACGGGAGTAAACCCAGGGGGGGGGGCAGAGTTATGGGAGTAAACCCAGGGGGAGGCAGAGTTATGGGAGTAAACTCAGGGGGAGGCAGAGTTATGGGAGTAAACCCAGGGGAGGCAGAGTTACGGGAGTAAACCCAGGGGGAGGCAGAGTTACGGGAGTAAACCAAGGGGAGGCAGAGTTATGGGAGTAAACCCAGGAGGGCAGAGTTATGAGAGTAAACCCAGGAGGGCAGAGTTATGAGAGTAAACCCAGGGGGAGGCAGAGTTACGGGAGTAAACCCAGGGGGGCAGAGTTATGGGGAGGAAACCCAGGGGGAGGCAGAGTTACGGGAGTAAACCCAGGGGAGGGGCAGAGTTATGGAAGTAAACCCATAGCACAAAAGTAGAGTACAATAAGTAAACCAAGAGGTCGAATAAACTGAGTAAAGACAAAGGGACATACGAGGTTTACTCACACCTCGTTGCGTCTCGCCAGACGTCATTCCTGCACGTCTTGACGTAGCGTCAGAATGTTAATGACCAAATTAGGAACATATTGCTCGTGAGGAAGTTAACACTCATCAAGTGACGCCCACAGACTGTAAAGTGAGTTTACCATTTAGGCGGGTATACCAGGGGGACAGATGACGGTGAGTATATCATGAGACAGGTGTTGGCGAGTATACCACGAGACAGGTATACTCATGTATACCTGTCTCGTATACATTGTATACTCAGTATAGTATACATTGTATACTCAGTATAGTATACATTGTATACTCAGTATAGTATACATTGTATACTCAGTATAGTATACATTGTATACTCAGTATAGTATACATTGTATACTCAGTATAGTATACATTGTATACTCAGTATACAATGGACCACATGGAGGGGGAGTACAGACAGGCACCTCAACATTTGCGTAATAAGGCAGTCTCCCGTGGCGTAGTGGTAAGACTCTAGCCTAGCGTTTCGCGAGAGCTTTGTCCTGGGTTCGTATCCTGGCCGGGGAGGATTTACTGGCCGCAGAGCCTTACCTGTAGCCTCTGTTTACCCAACAGTAAAATGGGTACTTGGTTGTTAAACGATTTGGCGGGTCGTATTCCAGGGAACATAGGATTAAGGACCTGCTTGAAACGCTACTCGTGCTGGTGTCTGTACAAGAATGCAAGAACTCTTGTAAAAAAAAGTTACAAAGTACAACTTTAATAATAAAAATAACAAAATACAACTATAATAATAAAAAATAATAGGGGTGGTTGGAGAGGAAAAGATTAAAGTGTTAGTGAGAATCTACAATGTCTTCTCTGAACATTTCTTGAGGTTGTCTTGAGATGATTTCGGGGGCTTTAGTGTCCCCGCGGCCCGGTCCTCGACCAGGCCTCCACCCCCAGAAAGCAGCCCGTGACAGCTGACTAACACCCAGGTACCTCCCAACACCTGGACCTTGAAGGTAGAGCTCGGCCTTCAGTCCTCCAAGTGCTTGGACACCATTCCTTGCCTCCGCCCTATCCTACCACACTATCTAAGTACTACATAGTCGCAATGGCTTCGTGCTTTCTCCTGATACCTTCCCTTATCTCTCGGTGTAAACAATCTTGAGATATACTTACAACTCTCATCTTGACAGACTGTATAGCACTTCACAGTGGTGGTGACTTGTGGAACTGTGGCGACGAGGAGAAGAGTGCTTATATATATGTATGTGTCCTGGATCGTGCCCCCTATACCCCTCCCTCTTTCTCATTCCTAACCCCCCTCCCCCCTCTCTCACTCCCCCCATTCCCCCTCTCTGACCCCTCCCCTCCTCCCCCACTCTCACTCCCCCTCCCACCTCGACCTCGTCTCCGGAAACAATGGCCACAATCGACAATCATCAACAAGGCTGAATTTAATAAAAGATTTAATTATTCCGATAATTCTAAAATAAATATTTAAACAAGTCATTTGTAATTGTTAATCTACTCAACATTTCTGATTTATTATTTTGTAATATTTTTTTATTGCTGTATAGTTTAATATTGTATTTGTTGGGGTACCACCACTGCTGCAATTGAAGGGACCCACATCCTCGAAGAAGAAAATAAAGAGGGAGCCTGTCGGCCGAGCGGACAGCACACTGGACTTGTGATCCTGTGGGCCCGGGTTCGATCCCGGGCGCCGGCGAGAAACAATTTGCTGAGTTTCTTTCACCCTATGCCCCTGTTACCTAGCAGTAAATAGGTACCTGGGTGTTAGTCAGCTGTCACGGGCTGCTTTCTGGGGGTGGAGGCCTGGTCGAGGACCGGGCCGCGGGGACACTAAAGCCCCCGAAATCATCTCAAGACAACCTCAAGAAATGTTCAGAGAAGACATTGTAGATTCTCACTAACACTTTAATCTTTTCCTCTCCAACCACCCCTATTATTTTTTATTATTATAGTTGTATTTTGTTATTTTTATTATTAAAGTTGTACTTTGTAACTTTTTTTTACAAGAGTTCTTGCATTCTTGTACAGACACCAGCACGAGTAGCGTTTCAAGCAGGTCCTTAATCCTATGTTCCCTGGAATACGACCCGCCAAATCGTTTAACAACCAAGTACCCATTTTACTGTTGGGTAAACAGAGGCTACAGGTAAGGCTCTGCGGCCAGTAAATCCTCCCCGGCCAGGATACGAACCCAGGACAAAGCTCTCGCGAAACGCTAGGCTAGAGTCTTACCACTACGCCACGGGAGACTGCCTTATTACGCAAATGTTGAGGTGCCTGTCTGTACTCCCCCTCCATGTGGTCCATTGTATACTGAGTATACAATGTATACTATACTGAGTATACAATGTATACTATACTGAGTATACAATGTATACTATACTGAGTATACAATGTATACTATACTGAGTATACAATGTATACTATACTGAGTATACAATGTATACTATACTGAGTATACAATGTATACGAGACAGGTATACATGAGTATACCTGTCTCGTGGTATACTCGCCAACACCTGTCTCATGATATACTCACCGTCATCTGTCCCCCTGGTATACCCGCCTAAATGGTAAACTCACTTTACAGTCTGTGGGCGTCACTTGATGAGTGTTAACTTCCTCACGAGCAATATGTTCCTAATTTGGTCATTAACATTCTGACGCTACGTCAAGACGTGCAGGAATGACGTCTGGCGAGACGCAACGAGGTGTGAGTAAACCTCGTATGTCCCTTTGTCTTTACTCAGTTTATTCGACCTCTTGGTTTACTTATTGTACTCTACTTTTGTGCTATGGGTTTACTTCCATAACTCTGCCCCTCCCCTGGGTTTACTCCCGTAACTCTGCCTCCCCCTGGGTTTCCTCCCCATAACTCTGCCCCCCTGGGTTTACTCCCGTAACTCTGCCTCCCCCTGGGTTTACTCTCATAACTCTGCCCTCCTGGGTTTACTCTCATAACTCTGCCCTCCTGGGTTTACTCCCATAACTCTGCCTCCCCCTTGGTTTACTCCCGTAACTCTGCCTCCCCCTGGGTTTACTCCCGTAACTCTGCCTCCCCTGGGTTTACTCCCATAACTCTGCCTCCCCCTGAGTTTACTCCCATAACTCTGCCTCCCCCTGGGTTTACTCCCATAACTCTGCCCCCCCCCCTGGGTTTACTCCCGTAACTCTGCCCTCCTGGGTTTACTCCCATAACTCTGCCTCCCCCTGGGTTTACTCCCGTAACTCTGCCTCCCCCTGGGTTTACTCCCATAACTCTGCCCCCTGGGGTTACTCCCATAACTCTGCCCTCCTGGGTTTACTCCCATAACTCTGCCCTCCTGGGTTTACTCCCGTAACTCTGCCTCCCCCTGGGTTTACTCCCATAACTCTGCCCCCTGGGGTTACTCCCATAACTCTGCCCTCCTGGGTTTACTCCCATAACTCTGCCCTCCTGGGTTTACTCCCGTAACTCTGCCTCCCCCTGGGTTTACTCCCATAACTCTGCCCCCTGGGGTTACTCCCATAACTCTGCCCTCCTGGGTTTACTCCCATAACTCTGCCCTCCTGGGTTTACTCCCGTAACTCTGCCTCCCCCCTGGGTTTACTCCCATAACTCCACCGTCCTGGGTTTACTCTCCTTATTAAGTTCCCAGGGTTTACTCCCCTGATTCTATTCCCATAGTTTACTTCCCTGATTCAGCTTTTGAGTTTACTCCTCGAGACTCTATCCCATGGGAGCTTATTCCTCTCAAACTCTTTCACGAAGTTTACTCCAATGACGCAAGCTGCCCCCAGGGTTTCCTCCCCCCCCCCCTGATTCTCCATCTGGGGTTTATTTCCCAGACTTAGCCCCTGGGTTTACTCTCCTGTCTCTGCCGTAAGAAGTTTACACCACTGACTCTACCCCTGTGTTTACTCCCCCGATTCTGTCCTTTTAGTTTACTATGCTGGTGGGTTTTCATTTTACCCCGAAATCACTCCTCTTCGCCGTCCCATCACCTAAATCATTTCCTGTCTCCGAAGCTTTCTTAGACTCCTTCATTGCCAAGGCAAGCAGGAAGTTCTTCGCGAGTCACCTGTATATGCGTCGCGCACCTTACGGCGCATATCAATGCAAGTTGCAGAACAATCATATTCTCTCATTACAGCAATTCTGAAATAACCACCAAGGAAGGACTGACTCAGTTGGTGTAATTATGAATGATTAAGGAGAGAGAGTTTGCGTTGTGGGGGACTTAATACTCACCACTCAGTAGGTGGGTGGTGGAAACCAGATATTGTCGGAGATGAAGGGGGAGTGAGGGAGAGGGAGGGGGCGGGACAGAGGGAGAGAGGGAGAGAGGGAGAGAGGGAGAGAGGGGGTTAGGGAAGCGATCCACGACACATATATATAAGCCCTCCTCCTCCTCCTCCTCATCACTACCACAGCTCATGTCCCCACTGTGAAGTGTTCGTTTACAGTCTGTCAACATGAGAGTTGTAAGTATATCCTAAGATTGTTTACAAGGAGAGATAAGGTAAGGTAGTTATCACAAGCATGCACTAAACTATTACGACTATATAGCAACTGAAAAGGATAAGGATTTAGGCTAGGGTGCAGGAAAGGAATGGTGAAAAGTGGAGTATATCTAGCATGCGACGCAAGGGAAGCGACCGCTCCCGCTGAGTATATCTGTCAAAAGTGGTGCTTTTTCAACAATTATTTAACTCTTTAGTTCACTGGTGCGATAAAAGTCGAATCTCTTTCTGGAGGCATCACTGTATTCGGCCAACCTCCCAGAGTTGTAAACTGTCTGCTGGATCTCCTGTGGTGTGCTCTGGAGGCCGCTGGCATCTGTGCAACCAAAACAACCACTATCATCCTTGTATTCTGATCTTAAACACAAAAAATGCATAACGAGTTTAAAATGTTTTTGGTCTGTGTCATGGCGCCTTTTCGCATGCGCTCGCTTTCCCTTGGCTTTAGAACCTTTACAAACTTTTTACTGTGTACTGTTTTTACTGTGAACCTTTACTGTGTACAAACACTTGGAGGATTAATTAATTATCAGGAGAAAGCACTAAGCCGTTACGACTACATAGCACCTACAAGGGATCAGGATAAGGATTTGATATGGGACGGGTGAAAAGGAATGGTGCCCAACCACTTGGACGGTCGGGGATTGAACGCCGACCTGCATGAAGTAACTTAGAGGAGTGAAGGCCGAGCAGGTAGATCATCTCTTTTACACTGTATAGTTTTCAGTGCATATTTTTCCAGCTTGAACTCTAAGGTTCGTGGTACATGATTTTCATGTTTCTTTTATTTTCATTTAAATTGTCTTAGCAGTTACTGACAAAAATGTACACGAATTCCTGGATAGGAAAGTGACGGAAGGGAAGATGAGTAAAGAGTATTGGAGGGGTGAATGATGGTGAAGGATTGCAGAGGAATGAATGAAGAGTGATGGAAAGGGGAGGAGTGGTGGACCATCAACTATATACCCTCTCCCTGGTGTATTACTACTCTTCTTCAGCCAAAACCTAGCCTTTTCTTTAATATAAATATACACAAAATTCAACTCTCACTGTATATACAGAGAGAGTTTAATTAATTTTGTCCTGGACTATATTCAGAACTGAAGTATACTTGCTGCTTGGTCAGTAAAGTAGTGCGGTCGTGTTAATAATCCTTTACGACAGGCTTATCAAGGCCACCACGAGACCTTCACTGACCAATCAGCAAGTATACATCAGGGTTAATGTATTCTCTCTCAGTGTATGTTCTCCAAGAAGTAGACACACCTCACAGTATACATGTCTCACTGAAGACTGGCAGTAGTGGTGAGAGACACCTCACAGTATACATGTCTCACTGAAGACTGGCAGTAGTGGTGAGAGACACCTCACAGTATACATGTCTCACTGAAGACTGGCAGTAGCGATGAGAGACATGAGAAACACTCCAGAAATGTGTATTATGACCTATGACGTGTTGTATATTATATCAACTCTCACCCTTAAGAACAGGTACTACAAGGCTCTCATCTCCTTGTTCAACCAGGCGAGCGTTACACTCCTATACGTTCACCTTTTGTTTACAATAGCGATGCGTTCTTCGTTTATATTTGCTAACGAAACTGAACACGTTTTTCTCCCAATTGCAGTTGTCGCTGTTGTTTGTTTTGGTGGCAGCCCTGGCCGCCCTGATGGGGTCAACCAGTGCTCTGCCTGACCCCAACGCCCTGGCCGACCCTAACCCCGGCCCTGACCCACAGTTTGGATTTGGTCGTCGCAGATTTGGTCGTCGTAGATTTGGTCGTCGTAGATTTGGTCGTAGCTCTGATTAATCAAGAGTGGGCTCTCTACGACCTTCTCTCAAGTGAGAGGGTCATTGTTTCCTTGATGGAAAACAACGACCTAATAGTTTAAGTGAAGTGAATAGAATAAGTGTAATGAATTATTGAAGAAAGTATTGACTCCTGCAGCCCCTGGATGTTATTGATATGCCGCGAGTTATTGACTGAAAAATACTGTTATTTTGTTGAATTCCACTAAGCTACTGGGGCCAGTCCAACACCTCAATGCATGGGGCTTCATCCTCCCGAACCTCTATCGACCAGACCTTCAACCTTCAGCACTACCTCGTCATATCCTTAAACTTCCAGGAACTCTTTACTTCCAGAGTATATAAATAAATAAATAAATACCAGTAAATTGTATCTGTGACCCTAAAGAAACATAGAAGATATATGATTACAGTTTTCAATAAAAACCCAAATATCATTCAAATAAATACACCCACATAAATACATTACACACACACACACACACACACATTCCTGAGCCCAATAGGCTCAGGAATCTGTACGCCTGTTGATTGACGGCCGAGAGGCGGGACCAAAGAGCCAGAGCTCAACCCCCGCAAACACAACTAGGTGAGTACACACACACACACACACACACACACACACACACACACACACACACACACACACACATTCAGAGTGGTTAACGGATGGAATGCATTAGGCAGTGATGTGGTGGAGGCTGACTCCATACACAGTTTCAAATGTAGATATGATAGAGCCCCGTAGGCTCAGGAATCTGTACACCAGTTGATTGACAGTTGAGAGGCGGGACCAAGGAGCCAAAGCTCAACCACCGCAAGCACAAATAGGTGAGTACACACATTTGTACGTTCAGAGAAATTCAACTACACCTTAGCATGCCCAACACATAAATATCTGCTGGACTCACCTCCCGGCTGGTAGACAAGTCACCGTGCAAGCTTGCCTGGTCCTCCGTGCTCTGTAACACTTTACATCAACAATGTTGATATCTGTTGACCAAACTACACACCAGAAGATGAAAAGAACACAAGGTTTCGGTCCGTCCTGGATCATTATCAAGTCGATTGATATCAATGTTGATATCTCACCCAATCTCTCTCTCAGGCAGCTCCAGTGAGGGACGAACTGTCCGAATGGTTTCTATCATGACTTCATTTGTTTGATTCAATGTTACTCCTGGAACAGTACGTTTCTTCACATGTTCCGTGATGAAGCAGGTAACACAGTGACCTGTCACACAGTCTCATAAGCATTGTAAAATATTCAATTACATTCTTCCTGAGTTTATTCTCATTACTCAACACTCAGTTATTCCCTACCACCACCATGCCCGTCTGTGTTCGTCATGCTGAGCGGACAGAACACTGGACGCGTGATCCTGTGGTCCCGGGTTCGATCCCGAACGCCGGCGAGAACCAATGGGCAGAGTTTCTTTCACCCTATGCACCTGTTACCTAGCAGTAAAGAGGTACCTGGGAGTTAGTCAGCTGTCAAGGGGCTGCATCCTAGGGGTGGAGGCCTGGTCGAGGACCGGGCCGCGGGGACACTAAGCCCCGAAATCATCAAGATAACCTCTCTCAAGATCAGTAATAATCATGGGTTGTGATGTTCCGGTGCTCGTAGGTTGTTTAATATACATAGAGAACGGTAGAACGACGGTCTCGCATCTTGCAGGTCGGCGTTCAATCCCCAACCGTCCAAGTGGTTGGCCACCATTCCTTTCCCCCGTCCCGTCCCAAGTCCTTATCCTGACCCCCCTTTCCAAGTGCTATATAGTTGTAATGGCTTGGCGCTGTAGCCTGATAATTCCCTCCCTCCCAGTTCCATGGTTTGCGAACACAATATCAGTAAAAGAACCAATCTCCTTTCAAAAAAAACTTTTGTTTAGTTTGTTTCGTTTTGTTTAGTTAACAAAACTCCTTTTCTTTAGGTCGGCCGAGCGGACAGCACGCTGGACTTGTGATCCTGTGGTCCCGGGTTCGATCCCAGGCGCCGGCGAGAAACAATGTGTCAGAGTTTCTTTCACCCTATGCCCCTGTTACCTAGCAGTTAAATAGGTACCTGGGTGTTAGTCAGCTGTCACGGGCTGCTTCCTGGAGGTGGAGGCCTGGTCAAGGACCGGGCCGCGGGGACACTAAAAAGCCCCCGAAATCATCTCAAGATAACCTCAAGAAGATGGGGAGTGTCTTATGTGTTCCATCAACACCAGAGTGTGCTCCTTAAGTCTAAACAATGTTTAAGGTTCTTAACAGGTAACAATGCGCATATATTTCAATTTTGTTCTACAAAATACCTGGGTAAATACTGGTTTGTGAGTTTTAATCTGGGAAGGTCAACAGTTGGTCTAAATTTAACACTTCGTTATAACGATGTACTTGGCGGGTGTGACCCACTTACGGCGGTACACACAAGTCGCTCGACCAAGATGTATTTTATTAACCCGTTCTCGCAAATTCGTAAAGTCAATATTGACTTATTAAATAAGTGCATAGGTGACATACTAAACATAATAGATACCCTTAAAAAGCTTCATAGAAAACACCGACCTTACCTAACCTTGTTAGTATCTTAAGTTAGTATCTGAAGCATCTTATAGCTTCATAATTACAATTGTTACTTAACCTATTATAGGTATAGGTTAAGTAATAATTGTAATTACGAAGCAATAAGATGCTTATCTTAAGATACTAATAAGGTTAGATGAGGTCGGTGTTTTCTATGAAGCTTTTTAAGGGTATCTATTATGTTTAGTATATCACCTATGCACGTAGTTAATAAGTCAATATTGACTTTACGAATTTGCGAGAACGGGTTGATTTTATTGTCTAAATAAACGGACTTGAAGCGTCAGCAGAATCCCACACTTTGAGAGCCCTTGGTGCAACCCGTCCTCTTAAAAATAACGTCACTTTTGGCTCGTATGCGCGATATGGCTAAATTTGGACGTAATTTGAAATGAAATCGACTCACAAAAGTGACGTACTGTCCCGTTTTCTGTTTGAATCGTCCGGCCTACGCGGAGAGGTTAGGAGAGGACACTTTATATTAACATTTTTCATAACGTTTTGAAACTTTATGAGAATTTCCTGTTCACCTAACCTATCAGAGGACCCTTAACTTACTGTTGTTGAAAAAAAAAAATCCCAAATTTATTTTCAATTTTTTTTCATTTTCAAATTACGTCCAAATTCGCTCATACGGGCAAACGGCCAAAAGCGACGTTCTTTTTAAGAGGACAGGTTGCTGAAGGCGGCTATACCCCAACGCCCTGTCCTCCAGGGGCCAGATTCACGAAAGCACTTACGCAAGCACTTACGAACGTGTACATCTTTCCTCAATCTTTGACGGCTTTGTTTACATTTATTAAACAGTTTACAAGTATGAAAGCTTCCCAATCAACTGTTGTTATTGTTATAAACAGCCTCCTGGTGCTTCAGAGCTCGTTAACTGTTTAATAATTGGAAACAAAGCCGTCAAAGATTGAGGAAAGATGTACACGTTCGTAAGTGCTTGCGTAAGTGCTTTCGTGAATCTGGCCCCAGGAGGACAGGGCGTTGGGGTATAGCCGCCTTTGCAACCTGTCCTCTTAAAAAGAACGTCGCTTTTGGCCGTTTGCCCGTATGACCGAATTTGGACGTAATTTGAAAATGAAAAAAAATTGAAAATAAATTTGGGATTTTTTTTTTCACCAACAGTAAGTTAAGGGTCCTCTACTATTGCAGGCAGCTTGGAGGATTATCCGTGAATACTCCTCAAAACCCACTTCCAGTTTCCCTTCAGCGCTACAAATTCCTGCACTGATCGTCTCAAGTCTCATCTAAACTATGCCAAGGCGAGAGGGAAGCTCTTCTGGAAAAAAGGAGAGAGTGAGATGAGCCTTGAGGCACGGGAATGTCTTCGGCTAGTATATAAGGAGCTGCACACCTCACACAATCATCTTGGAACAGATATCTTGGTTATCTCTACTTCAGCATGAAAGTTGTAAGTGGTGGTTCTTATCTAAGTCTTCGAAGAATTAGTCTATAATTTAGCATCTCATTTACGTTCTTTTTAAACATTATGAGTTAGCAAGTATAGTTCAAACTGGTTTCAATTACAAGATAGATTATATGAACAATTATGTTATAAGAATGTTAGATTATAACTAGAAAAGGAGGGTCATAGAAGGTGTAGGGTTATGGGTTATGGAACTACAAGAGAAAAGTTATGGAAGGGAAACCATAGGTGTAAATAGGGATTAAACAGAGAATTTGTATGGAAAAAAATACCTGACAGTTTACACATTTAAATCATATGAAACCGGTAATGTAAAACACTCTTGAATATATAATTACTCGACATACAAATGGAAATTCAATATTTCAAATTACACGCAAATTATTCACCATTTCAGCTGACTGTTGTGGTAGGGGTGATGGTGGCCCTGGCCGCCCTGATGGGGTCCACTCTAGCTATGCCCGAAGCCAACGCCCTGGCCGACCCTGACCCCGCTGCTGAACCGCAGTTTGGATTCGGTGGCGGCAGATTTGGCAGCGGCGAATTTCGCGGTCGCGGTAGATTTGGGGGCGACGGATTCAGGAGACACGGATCTGGTGGCAGACGATTTGGTAGTCGAGAATTTCGAGGATTTGGCAAATAACTTTTAACTCAGTGATGAAGTCCCGAGCGCTGTCCACTCAGCCGTCAAGCCCCCCTCCCGGCCGAATTCATCGCCTCATCGTTGACCTCAGACAGATGCTCCGTCCATTCTCCGTCAAGATGCACTGTCACGCTATTCCAATCTTTCTCCGCAGCATTCATTATTCAACACTTAATTCTTATATCACCATTAACCAATAAGAATTCATTCCGCATGAATTATGCAAAATCGATGTTTAATGCTCATCAAATGATTGTTCTGTATTTAGTAAATGATTGTTGAGAGGGTGTATGAACAATAAAACTATTGTTATATAAAAAATAACAGATTTTTTAAATTATATTTTTAAAATTCCTCTAAGTAACAAATAACTTTGTTTTACATTTGTTTGAGATAAACACCACCTGTCATATATTATAATCAGGTAATGACTTGTAAACTATACACCATTCACACTCACTACTCTCAGGTGTTGACCTGTAAACACCACCCCTACCACACTACACACAGGTGTTGACCTGTAAACACCACCTCTACCACACTACATTCAGGTGTTGACCTGTAAACACCACCTCTACCACACTACACTCAGGTGTTGACCTGTAAACACCACCTCTACCACACCACACTCAGGTGTTGACCTGTAAACACCACCTGTCCCACACTACACTCAGGTGTTGACCTGTAAACACCACCTGTCCCACACTACACTCAGGTGTT